CTGGGGCCTGAATCTGAAGAGAAGGCATGGCCTGAGGCTCAGACAAACCCAGAGAGCCCAAGACCCCTTAATTTAGGTTTAGGGTTTAGGGTTTAGGGTTTAGGGTTTAGGGTTTAGGGTTTAGGGAATATACACCTTACAGGGCTCCTTAAAGGGATCCACAAGGGTGTATGTAGGGCTTAGGCTTAGGGGGATTAAGGAATTAAGGAATATACACCTTACAGGGCTCCTTACAGGGATCCTTAAATGGTGTAGGGTTTTAGGGGGATTAAGGAATATACTTGAAATCATCATATTAAGGCCCATATATACACCTTAAAGGGCTCCTTAAAGGGATCCATAAGGGTGTAGGGCTTAGGGGGATTATATTCCTGAGGCTCAGAGCAGAGGCTTCCGGCTTAGCAAGATCCAAGGTTAGAGCTAGGGTTTAGGGCTTAGGGTTTAGGGTTTAGGGTTTAGGGCTTAGGGTTTAGGGTTTAGGGTTTAGGGTTTAGGGTTTAGGCTTAGCATCTAAGGTTAAACCAAACCCTGATATAGGGGCCTTAATAATTGGTTTAGGGTTCAGGGTTCAGGGTTCAGGGTTTAGGGCTTCAACAATTAGAGTAGGGTTTTGGGGCCCATTACACTATAAATATTAAGGAGCCCGCCCCCCAAAAAATAGTATGTATAGGTATTTATCTAAGGTTGAACCCATGAGGCCCTAGTATGGGCCCTTAACCCTGGGATCCTTATGCACCTACTATATACCGTATACCCTAAACCCTAAACCCTAAACCCTAAACCTTATATACCCTCTATGCACCCTTAGGGGTCTCTAGAAAGGCCTGAGGGTCCATATTGGGGGCCCATACTTCGAACCTTAGATACCAAGAGGCTTCGGGCTTTTGGGGCCTAGGGGGTTTTAGGGTTCAGGGTTTTGGTTTAGGGTTTAGGGTGTAGGGTTTAGGGTCCCTAAACCCCTAAACCCCTAAACCCCTAAACCCCAGAGGGCTTCAATGTACGCTTTCGGATCTCGGACTTTTATGGCTCCTTTGTATTCATAGGTCCTACACTCCAAAAGCCACCAGGCAGAAGCTTTGACCCTAAATCAGACTACGGGAGGTCTGACTTACTAGGCTCTGCCTTTGCTTTGTTGTTAGGGTTTAGGGTTTAGGGTTTAGGGTTTAGGGTTTAGGGTTTAGGGTTTAGGGTTTAGGGCTTTGTTGGGGGGGGGGTATCTACCTGCATATTTCATAGCACATCGTTAGTGGTTTGGTTAGTAAATAGCAGGATCAATGCCAACATGAGTTGAACTGTGGCACCTTCTGGTGTGCTAGGCCCAACGTTGAGGATTGGTCAGTGTACTAGTGGCTACAATATGGGTTTTGAAAACTAGAGCTCCATGTTGGACCCTTAAAAAACCTTTCTTCCCTCGCAAGATGAACGATTTGCGAAAACACCACTTAGACGCTCAGGGGACTTAGTAGATAATTATGCGTGGGGTTATGTATCCCAGATGGGGTTACCCTACTCGTAACTGCCAGTAAAACCTACTCACAAAGCGGCGCGGATCTGTAACACTTTCACCTGAAACACGTAGTATAGGGGCCTTAATAATTAGAATAGGGTTTAGGGGCCCGTCATACTAGGATCACAACACGGCACCCCCAAAATAGTCTTGGTAATTATTGAAG